TAGTATCAGGCTGCTCCTCGCCCTGATGAAGTGAACTGCAAGGTTCACGAAACGTTGGCATTCCAAGAATGGATCTGAACACGGAGAAAACCCGCGAAACGCAAGATTGTCACATAGGTAACACCCGTGAAAGCCTCAAGAATATTACCTATAATTGTTTACTTATGCGTTATAAAGTCATGTACATTATTAGGTTAGGAATATGCCTATGGGTTACAATATTTTCAATTACCACATCAATTTTACGACTTATATGGCATAATAATATTGAATCATTATTATCTAAATTTGTACTTACAAACATACAAGTATCACACACATATGACACATAATGGAGGTCGCCATGTTCTTGCAAATGTTAGAAGTTCGCGCATCTCTTACTCGAGGATCTCTAGCCACCATCAGTACGTCGCGTCGCGTTCTCATCTTCATTCATGAAAGTAGTGCGAACCGGCGATAAGTACGACCGCATCATCATCGTCGTCGTTGTTAATTTAACCGTGCAGTCTTGCACGCTCCGTATTTTCTGAATAACGGAACAGCGCTCGAATAAGGGGTATAAGCAATTTTTTCCTTATGCTTGCAGAGACCGACGTGTCCGCGCTGTGCCTCGACGTATCAAAAGTGAAATCGTTGGCCGGAGAACCACGGAAGTCTGTAAGTTTCGCAGCCATTGCTCTCCTGTGCTCTCCGTGTCACAGCTGTCTGTGTGATGTCGTTTCAACTTTCTGTACAAAGCAACAAAAGCTGCGTTCAGCAAAGAAAACTAATCAGTTAGCGCTTAGTAATTCTTTAATATGATTGGTTCTTGCCTTTAGTCCTTCACTGGATCTAACAAGTAAGTGTAGGAACCAATTATATTGAAGAATTACCAGTGTTAAGCTTAGATAATTAAAAACTATCTAAATATAGATAAGATAAATCACACAAAAATGTATCTTAGATAAGATGAAGGTGATTAACTTTATCTTATCTAAGATACATTTTTGTGTGATTTATCTTATCTATATTCAGATAGTTTTTAATTATCTAAGCTTAACACTGGTAATTCTTCAATATAATTGGTTCCTACACTTACTTGTTAAATCCAGTGAAGGACTAAACTTTATATTAATCTAGATAAAAAATGAAATTAAAAAAAATTTTTATCTAGATAATTTTTAAGATAATTTCGTTTTTAACTATTAAGTAGTAAAACGATTTATGCCCAATTTCTTCACCCCTCTAGATAACTTTATCCAAGAGATATCTCCCAGAATACAATGGAGATATCTCCTGGATAAGGGTATCCACAAGAAGTGAAGAAATTGGGCATTAGGATACAAAAAATGTATTTATATTTTCATTAATCTTTATTTTTTACGAATAAAAGTTTTTTGTACATTTCGTCTAACAAACGGTTTCTACGTGGAATTAATATTTGTCGAAAACTATTCGAGATATAAAAAAGTTTTATACAAAAGTTTTACAATAAAATTACCTCTATTTACTCATATCAATGATATTTTTTTAGAATAATATTTAACAATTTTTTTTCGAAAATTTTGACAAAAAATTGGTAAATAATTGTTCTAAAAACGCGAATGAATACAGCTGATTTTGTTGTAAAACTTTTGTATAAAACATTTTTTTATATCTCAAACATTTTTCGAGATATAACGGAAAAAGTTGAAAACCGCTATACACGTTAGGGATGATTTCACCCCTTCAAACTGTTTTTGGGCCGCAACTGATATTTTCTAAATTCATCTCTTTATGTAAGCTACAAGTTCACGAAGTTTCATTAAAATTAGAATTTATCACCTCGAGAGGTTCCCTTGTAAGCGATAATTAATTAGTTTTCTTTGCTGAATGCAGTCAATGCAAAGGTGCATCAAGAAGCACGACCGCTCACCGCCGCTCACTGAGCGTTCTGCGCTTCTGGATGCACCCATTGGGCGCATTCAGCGGACTCAACAGTTGAGTGAGCGCTTGCTGTTATTGGTGTATTCTTTTAGTTCATCCAATCAGAGGCGATATTTACAGTGGCGTAAACAATATCGTCTTGCTGGTTGGTTGCTGCTTCGCTGCTTGACGCTTGCTGCTTCGCTGCTTGACGCTTGCTGCGTCCAGTGTGAATTAAGCATTACTTGAACGGACTTTTTATTTTTCCGTTATAATTAGTATTCTTTATTTTCTTTAATTCTGTGCGATTTAAATTATCTCTCGCAATAAGAATCTGGTTGATACCAGCTGATGATTTAATTGGCGAAAATCAAAGAATTTTTATTATTTATGAGAGAAACTTATAGAGATTCCAAAATCATTTGTTTATTTATAATCTCATACTGATTTCGAATACTTAAAGTATAGTACTTACATGAAATTGAGCCTAACTCGATCGCAAAGATTTAATAAATATTATTCCATGCGTTAATTATCAATACAATTGTTGTACCGTACAGGCGCTGCCTGTGTGTCATTTGAGATCGTTTGAGGGGTATAGATCTGATTTTCGCAAGCAAACGCTGTTATCAATGGTATATAATAATTATTGCATATGCAAGCTTATTACATTTATTAAACGTAGCGCCTGTGTGTGAAGAGATTTTTGTGTTTTGCAAAAATTTTGACGCCAAATACTTGTCAATGTCAAGGCAATTTGTATTCGGAAAAAAGAAATTACGTACAAATTATCAATGCAATTATCTAATTTGTACATACATTGGTGATTATTCGATTCAGTCCTAATTTTCTTAATTCAATCAAAGCGACGCATATCTCAATTATCACGTCACGCCATTTACATTTCTTCCGAAGTAGAGTAACTGTCCCTATTAGTGTGTTTTTATATTTAAATAATCTTTCTATAATAAAAACTAACACAAATATATAAGAAAAAAAATTTTTTTTATTAACTTGAATTATTAGTGTATACGATACCAAAGATAATATTTTATTTTTCAACTATTAAAGTATTTTAAACATTTTCCGAAAGACATGAGGAATTTATGTGAATCCACATAGTATACATACCGCAAGGTTTTAAGCTTGTCTCTATTAGTGTGCCTTGTATTGGAGTTGAGAACGTTGTGTGATATGAGTGTATGTACATTGAAATAAGTATAATTAAAATAATCATTTATGTAATATTAACTTGAACAATTAGCTTACATGTATTATCTGTTTTAGTAATTATATGTTAAAATGAGTCAAATGTACACAAATTGGGGACACATTAATAGGGCCATCGCCGCTTGGAGGACGCACTAACCGGGACGAAATATGTCTCTTATTCTTATCAAAAATTATTAAGTATTAACATCTTTTAAAATTTAGATTAAGGATATACATGCATTATAAGAAAAGCAGATAAAATTAAAGCTACAATATTTAATAATTAATTTAGTAATAAGCAATTTGGCTTAAAGGCACACTAATATAATAGGGACAATATTACCCTAGTTTATTTGCAGTTTTTTTAATCATCTGCAATGTACTACCATTAAAGATAATATGACTCTCTCTCTCTCTCTCTCTCTCTCTCTCTCTCTCTCTCTCTGGTTTTTCTATTTAATATTATAATCTGATGATGAGCTTCTTTCAATTGTATGTATAATGTTATTTGTAAATTATATAATATAGTATTTTATAATATATACTTTTCTGACTGAAAAAATCAAGATTTTCTTGCCATTTTGATTTGTTATGATTTAATTGATGTGAGCCGTACGTTTCCTAAATGATTGAGATATGCTCTTAATTGTGTATCCTCCCTGTATTAGCAAAATCACATGACAAAGTACAGTATTTGATGTGATAAGTAAAATTTCCAAGGAAAGTACTGAGATTAAAGTATTAAAGATGTCTTTGACGTTAAAATGACGACAAAATGACGTTAAAATGACGACATAACGTCAGCTTATTAAGCTGTTTTATAATTAGTTAAGTATTTTATTAAGTATTTTATAAGCTAATAAACGATCGCTTTGCTAACGTAACACTCATTATTTATATTGATGCATGTTTCTTTATGGTATCTCGAGCTGGAGATATATTTGTATCTATAGTTATAGAATTATCATTAGAGTCGAAATATATTATATTTTGATATGTGTACATCCGATGCTAATATGGATATTGCAGCCCATAATTTAATTCGTATTAGTTGACAGAAGAATATGCTGAGCGCGCGCACGCGCGTTGCAAATGCGTGTATGCCCTTAAGACAAAACGGTCAAAGGGGGTATATTTGTGCTTACTGACAAATTCATAATAATGCATAGTTGGCTATTTGACCAGTTTACAGGTATGCCCATGGTTTTGTTGAGTTTTATTCCGTCCTGGCTTTTCCATGTTATCACTGATTGGTCTACGAGAGTGCAGAACACACTTCATATTGTTTACGATGCTTAATTGCGTGAGCGATATGGTCTTCTGATTTTACATATCGTAAATTTTATTTTTTAAGAGATTGGTGAAGCCCGTACATTATTTTAAAGATATCGCAGTGTTGGCTACTCAATTAATTTTGAAAATCAGAACTTGCGTTTTTCTTTTTTTCTGCATCAGTAAAGCAAAAAAAAAAGAATAACTGGAAATATTCACTAAATTTATTAGGCTTAACATTACATTGATATAATCCGGCCATATAAATTACAACCGCGATATTACATTGTATTAAACAATTCTTTATTAATGATTGTTTCGCAAAGCAGACGATATCTAAACATAATTGATGACGTGATATGAAATTATCAGAATCCATCTTCATACATCGCCATATTAATAAAATTTGTGCCAACAGATGCTGCAAGTAACATTTATAGATTACGTTATAACTTGTATTTGCATTAAACGTATTATTTATTTGCATTTGTTATGCGACTATACTGCTAAATAGAGAATAATGGTAGCTCATAAATATATATTAATCTGTAAGTTGTACTATCCGTAAGAATTAACAAAGAAATTTTTCAAGTTATATCGCTCCTGTTACGCAAAATCAATGTTTATTATGCGTAATAAACAGTTCATCTTTCACTTAAAAGGAGAGAAAATTTTCTCACGATGTGAGATACATAATTTATAATCTGCGTAATTTCTTTTACAGGAGTGTAACAATGCACACGATGCCGACCCTGGTGGATGGACCTCGTTGCTGGTACTGGGCGGTGCCACTTGCTGCCTGGGATCAGCATTACCAGCAGGATATAACTTAGGTGTCATGAACAATCCTGCTCATGTTCGTAGACTAATATGCGATTTCATCGAGCATAGTGTTATCTAAAACTATACTGTCGTATATTCGGCTTACAGCTTATGCAATCGTTCTGCAATGATAGTATCAGGGAAAGATATAATGTACAATTGTCCAGCCATGAGCTCCAGGTTCTCTGGTCCGCCATAGTGTCAGTTTTTCTTATCGGAGGTGTGTCTGGGTCTTTAATCGCTAGCTGGTTGAGCGACAGATTCGGACGGAAAGGCGCGCTGAGCATTGGAAATGTTTGCGGGATTGTAGGAGCCGTTCTGTTCATGTTCGTACGAATTATGAACTCAGTTGAGCTTTTTCTGCTTGGCCGAGTGATTGTCGGTGAGTTAAGAAATCGTTAATTCAATCCGTGCCCGATTTAATCTGATCCCAATTAGGCATTTAATCAATGCAAGAACATGTAGCAATAGAACTATAATTGAACAATTTGGTGTAAAAACTGGTCAGCTTCCTTTTTTAAAACTTATCGTACTACAATATTAACAATAAATTTTTGTGCCAAGTATATTATGCAAGATATTTAAGAAAGGGAAAACCGTTGAAATATGACCGTTCCTTATAAAAGAACACGGAATGTGTTTGGCACGATGTTATATTTACTTAAAAAATCATTTTCACTAAAAAAGAATAAAGCTGGCCGACTTTTGTACCTCCAAATTGAAGGCACATATAAGCCTTCATTTTTTAAATTTGATTTAAATTTTCATAATATGTAATGTAATGCTTCTAAATATATTCGTAGGACTTTCCGGTGGTCTAGCTACTGCTTTGCTCCCGATGTACATGACTGAAATAGCACCTTTAAAATTGAGAGGTGCTGTCGGGGTCTTGTGTCAATTGGGTATCACCTGCGGCGTACTGATGGGCCAAATTGCCGGGCTCGAAACTGTCCTGGGCACTCCTGAGTCCTGGCATATAATGTTAGCATCTTTCTCACCGCTATGCCTCGCTGCATTATTATTAACTGTACTGACTTTGCCGGAAAGTCCAAAGTATCTGTACATAATCAGAGGAGAACAAGGAATGGCTCTTAAAGGTGTGTACAACTATCTTTTACAAACTATCATCCGAGTGTATGATATAAACCATAATCTATGAGTTTGCGTTTTAGCTCGTTTGTCGTTATTACTTTTATATCTTAAATTCGGATTGCTTTTAGAGCTCAGTCGTTTGCGCAACATGGACATAATGCTCCTGCAAAACGAGATCGCTAGCTTGCAACAAGAATTAGCGACAAGATCAGCAAGTGAAACGTGGAGCATTAAGCGCGTGTTGAGAGAACCGACTGTGAGATTAGCTCTGTTCTTAGTGTGCCTCCTGCAATTTGGTCAGCAACTTAGTGGTATTAACGCGGTTTTTTATTACTCAAACACGATATTCCTCAGTGCTGGCCTGGGAATTGCCGGTGCTCAATATGCGACTCTAGCCACTGGTGTTGCAAATATGGGGATGGCGGTGATTTCTGTGCTGGTAATGTCACTATTTAGCAGAAGAAAAGTATTGTTCCTGAGTTGTTACTTATGCATAGGATGCCTTCTCTTTCTGAAACTCTCTATTGCACTAATTGTAAGTATAAATAATTGTAATAATTTTAAATGGCATATTTTTACGATTTTCTTACATTATAATTTCAATAATATATTGTATGTATACATTATGTATATATATAAATAATTGTTAAAAATAAACAGCTATAGGTGAAAAAATTAGACCGATAACAAACAATAAATCAAATAAGAGAAAGAATCCTATTTTTGGTCAAAGCAGAACTTGATGCTTAATAATGTTTATGTGCGAGTGCAAATTTAATAAAACAATTGAAATTTATACATATTTATATAACATTATGTTCAAATTTGTGCAGTAGTATAATTCTTATAAAAGGATAGAAGATACATACTCTTTCGCTCTGTCAACTCGATTCCCTGATTATAGCCACAAAGCATATATCAATGTACAACAAAATCTATGGAAAACACATTTTGTCAGGCTTGAAACGCAATCATAAACTAAAGTTAGAAATAACATCACAAAGCGATCGTCAGTTTAAATAATCACATGCTGATAAACATCTTTAAAACACAGCAAAGAATGTATTGCGCACTTATCTACGCACAAAATGAGTTAGGGAGAGATCCAGATTCAAATACCAGCCGAAGTGATATTTTTCGCAATAAATTCTTTGTAGTGCTTTAAAGACGCTTATTAGCATTATCGTTATTAAATTGGCGATCAATGTAATTTGTGATGTTATTTTCATCTTCAGTTTATGATTGCGTTTCAAATCTGACAAGCCGAATCGGCGCGATTTATAGAACTAAAAAATGTATTTGCAAATTTGCATATGATCATTAATAAGCGCCATATCAATCGAAAATACAATTCTTCCTTTTACTTAATTTTTAAAATAACGTTGATTCTTAGTAAAGTGCAAATCTTGGCAAAGGTATACATCGCTGAGTATACATCTTTTTACAGCACAAAGGCTCATTCATGTCATGGCTTTCCACCGTTTTGGTACTGGTGTACGTTATATCTTACGGTATCGGTCTCGGTCCTATACCGTATTTCATCGGTTCCGAATTGTTCGATGTAGGTCCTAGGCCTTCCGCTATGTCGTTAGGCAGCATGTTTAATTGGGGAGGCAACTTCCTCGTCGGGATGATGTTCCCTTCGTTACAGGCTGCGATCGGCCCGTACGTCTTTCTGATCTTCGCTGGGTGCATACAGATCTTGGTGATAATCAATCAGTACGTAATATAATTTTATTACTATTATTCCATGGCCATGCGCGATATAAACGATTCGCAACGTAATGTGAAACTGTTGTTACTTGTTACAGGACCTACTTGCCTGAAACGCGAGGTCGAAACACGACCGAAATAGCGGCAGCTATGACTCAAGGCTTCAAATCAAAACCGAATGCAACATTCGCTGCGTAGACTGAATGTTTGCAATTCGACCAAGTACTTTTTATACAGTTTTTTAATACGAAATCAACAAATCATTACCGCCACACGTTGTTCGTACGCGAATGACAATGTCGCGAGTTGTGCTCATATCTTATTCATGTAATAGCACATCAATGTAAAGAAGAAGGCTCTTCCTGATGCAAGATTAACCGGTTAAGTGGTATTGTAGCATATATGCACAAAAAGAATCCGTGCCAAAAGTGGTATTGTAGCATATATGCACATCTTGAATAACTTCTATATTATTCAACGAATTTGCTTGAAATTTGGTATACTATTGTTTTTTGGGCTTCTGAACTCGATTTTGGCGTCAAATTTGTAAAATTTGATGGCGAACACAACATGGCGACTAATACGTTGAATGAAAATGGCGATTTTTGTATATATATTGCAATTACGTTTTACCCCCGCAGTTTATATACGAAATGAAATCAGCGACCCAAAAAACCCCCAGGGCCAAATTTTGGTATATTTTAGTTCACAATTGACGCCTACCACTTTTGGCACGGAATGTTTTAAAAAGCCTACCACTTAACCGGTTAATTTATTCGAGCGAAATTTAGGAGCACTATGTGAGCGAATTTTATATACTATTGACTATTTGCATACGTTCTATCTCGTAAGTATTCAAAAATAGTGCAGAATGATGTTCGCACGCACAAAGATGATTAGAGTACAGGCGGCTAAGATTTTTACATTTATACAATATTTTAACATACGTCCATAATTTTAAAATTTCTATCTACACTCGAGCGATCACTGCCAATTCGTAACATCAAATTATTCGAATAGATATGTAATATTTAATATTCAACATCCTTGAAAAATCTTACAAAAGTCTCGCTTTGCATACACCTAGGAAGTATATAAATACACTGAAATACATGTATAATTTTTATACATATTTAAAATTGACATCAATCAGTTCGTGTTCTAAAATTATTGTACAGTTGATCTAGTTTCTCGTAAAACACTAAACACAGAACCGTATGCGGCGCTATTCTCATCCACGTTGGGAACGTTCCTTTGTACAGGCCTGTCAGACCCTCGGTGCGGAATATCTTGACGAGTGCGTCTCCGAGTCCTTTGTACAAAGCACCTTTGCCGGCCGCGTCTGTCTCTGCGTACATATGCGTACGTTTAAAACACTTTTAGTAGTTGGCGATTTTCAAAGATAGCAATAAAACGCATAAAATTCGCCTACTTTTGCGAAATTTGCGCTATTAAAAGTCTGGCGTTTAGGGCGATCAAAGTCTTCTATTTTTGAATGTTTTCTCTAATCGAATGTTCAATATTACCCGCTTGAAAAACTTTACGACGAATCCTTTATGCAAATTATATTATAGTCACGCGCATTAGGGTCGTATTTATAGTAGCGCATATATTACATTATATTTATAGTCGCGTATTATTAAACATTTTATCTTCACTCTTATCATAAGATCCCGAGCCGAACGAACGCGTTAGGAAGAGTGATACTTTATCGGATAAGAATGAGGATGTTTTACTTACTTTTATTTGTCCGCTATTCAACGTACGTTCAAATATATGAAATTGCAATTTTGTGCAAACGTTGATCGTTGTAAGTTGAGCAACACAATCGTGGCCTTCGGTAAATCGCGCGTTTAACACAACAGGCTTCGCCACGTAGGTTTTCGCATGGTGGAATCAGAATCTGATTCCACCATAGGTTTGCGATATACTCACGTTGATTATACAACCGCGTTGCTAAAACATCGAACGGCTGCATGGTGATGGCTACGCAACTACCTCCGATCACGGAGGCCAAAAAGGTCAGCAATATTGGGCGATCTGGAAATATCTGAGAGAAATAAAGAACGCTTCGTCGCGTCACGTCGCGTCACGTCGTATCGATGAGTAATCCTCGAATCTCGCACTGAGGTCTATTGGATCACCGATCAGTGCTTTTAGATACGTATGTATGTACTACACTTCGCGATTTAAGAAATCGAAATTGTTGTTGGCTTTTTTTATATTTTTATATATATAAAATCGCGCGATATGTTTCCGTTACCTTTGGCTGTTCGCCGGCAGTTGTCGGCAGAGGAAACTAGGGGTGACTAGGGAGCTCATTTCAGGGTAAAGGAGGAAAATATTTAGAAAGTGTGGAGAGACGGTCAAGTATTACTTACATTTAGCGAGCGCAACCAGTCCGATGCTAATCCAAAAGTAGTCAACTGCGTCGCCGAGCCGACGAATAAGCGCGACATGTTGGCGTTCCATCCACGGTATAAAGCCGCGACGCCGCCCTCCATCCACAAGGACTTGAAGGCATTCCACGATCCCGAGTGACTGTGCTGGTAGCCCACGGCGATGGATTTTGCAGATTGCGCCTGTAATTGCGTCTTGACCTGCGGGATAATTGTAATGTATGATCCCCAATTAGCTGTAATCCGCCTGCGAAGAATAATTGCGATGACGCTCTTATATTGCTTATATTTCTAGGCAAACATATTTATATCTCTTGTATTTTTATTAAATCAACTTTTGATCCAAAGACATTTGATGTACATATATGTGTTCACTTGCGAGCAACCGTGGTTTTTTTATTTTATCTCATGTTTTTTGTTAATCTAGTTTCAACTTTCAACAGACGAAGAGACTTTCCAAGTAGAATAGAAGTCAGGGTACATTGTATGTATACGTGCATCATCAAAATTATTCTAAAGTGATTCCTAAAAGTCACTTTTCGATTCAAAATAATTCATTTATCGTGAGCCGTTATCGTGACTCGTTCTGCTTGAGGGAAGATTCCGTTGCAGGAAGGACGAGTGTATGAACATATTAAAACAATCACCAGATAAAACGGACTGCCGAGGACGGCGCCGACGCAGCCGGCTATGCCGGTCACCAGGGTGGTCCGTAGAACATCGGTATTGCCTTGTTTGTCAATGATCAGTTCGTATCTCTGGGCAGACTTGTATGCGCCCAAGCGGATACCGTTGAGCACCACCTGGAAGGCGAGCGCGGGCACAATTCCCGCTTGTAGAGCCAATATACCTTCGTGCTTAGCTATCAGATACGCGGCGTGAACGGTGTTTTTGTATATCTTCTGGTACGAGCCTCGTGCCTCCAGCTCACCCTGCAGTTGCAGCCGCACCTTCACCACGTCCACGGGATTTGTGAAGAAACCGGCGCCCACCGCCGCCAAGCCACCGATTGCGAACTCTATGCCCAGCCTGAAGGAGCACGTCGAGCAGATTGCAAATGTCGAGGAATTGGAGATAACCGAAAATCAAACACGACAGTTGTTTAACACATTGAAAATTAAGTTTCTTTTATTTCTTCTCCTCACCCAAGTATTAAAAACTGATTCTTATGAAAAATCTATTTCTTATATTTATAAATTATACGAAATGATCTATTAATTTAATCTTGACAGACAAATATTTTTAAAATATGCAATCTTACAAAAAAATTACAAATAAAAGTTACATGTATATATAGACGATACCATCGTAATTGTACATCTCTCTCTCTCTCTCTCCCTCTATACAGGGTGTTTCCAAATTAAATGGCAAAACTTCGGGAGCGTGTAGAGGAGTAAAAAACTAAGAAAAAAAGTCCTATAGACATATGCTCCTTTTTGCTTTGTTTCGCAGGAAATCACGAAAAAAGAAAAAAATATATTTAATTTATTATTTTA